TCCCGATGCTCTGCACCGGGAAGCCCCTGGGTGCCCGGCCCAGGGCCCCGGTGCCCAGCCTGGCAGCTCCCTTCCGCTCAGGGGGCGCTGAACTTTTTTTTTTTTTTTTTTAAGTGGAGAAATCTCCTTTTTTCGATCTAAATCATATGAAACTCCATTATATAAAACAGGAACTAGGGTACTAATATAAAGGATCAGTTTACGGTTATATATACTTATTATAAAGCCGGTCCATAAGAACAGGATTAATTTGAAAAGCCCGCAATTTGGAGGAAGGTCATTGGGGTTGTAGCCTCATCTCCGGATTCATTCCCTGGCTTTGTATTGGTTGTGCAGGGATGGAGAAATCCTGGCTTGCCCAGGACACCCAGGCCACAGCAGGTTCTAGCACCTTGCTTCATGTGCTTGGTGTCTTCCTCACCTAGGGGCTGCGAGGCCAGGGAGCCTGCGGGGGGAGGGGAGTGTGGGGAGGGGGGAGGGGTTGAGGGGTTCCAGTGTCAGTGTTTGCTACTGAGAACAGGAGTGTGTGGTTTCAGGGGTTAACATATATTTTGCACAGAAAATCAGACATGCGTGAGCCCCTGAAGCACCTCTGAGAGTTCACAGGATGTTCAAAGTGCTGGTTGCTGAGGAGAGGCCCCAAAGACTCTTGTGTTTCCATGGCAACAAAGTTTGCTTTTCATGCTGGGGAGGATGCCTGGGAGGGAGGGGCGTCACAGGGAATGGGTCATTTTAGTATCCTGGCTGGAGGACTGAGCAGGTACATGTGTCTGGAAGAGAAGATTCTAGCACGTGGCTACAAGCACAAGGAGTGTGTCAGCCAAGGGCCTCCCCTAGAGGCACACTTGTTTCCTTCTCTGGGCCTGTCTGCAAACGTGGGGGCCAACTGTCCGCGGAGGAAGCCAGTTGGCATAGGCCCGCTCCAGTCCTGCCTGGCCATTCCAGAGGCCCGGGGACAGTGATCACAGGCCAGGCCCTGGAGACAGTCAGACCCGGACTCAAATCCCAGCTCTGTCACCAGCCTGGCTTCCTACTCGGCTTTCTCCTTGGGCCTCCCTGCTCCACTGCCAGTCCGTTGGGGGCAGGTGCGGGGCAGTTTTATCGCTGCACACAGCAGCCTGCTAGAGAACCACACCAAGGCTGTCTCAGGGGGCTTCTCTGAGCAAGTTTTCTTGTGGGTGGCAGAGGCTTCCCCAAGGGAGACTGCCACCCTCCATCTCCCATCCTTTCTCCCTCCAGGCGTAGGCCAGGCCCAGGAGGCTCTGTTGGCCAGGGAGCAGGCTGCCTGTGGGGCAGGACATGGGCAGACCAGCTTGGGCCTCATCTCCTGGTGCCCCCTCGAGCCAGAGGTTCCAAAACCCTTTCCTGGGGGCTCAGGTTGGCCCCTGACTCCCTGTCTTCCCTCCTCTCACCTCTTTACTTGGTCCAGCCTGGCCATGACTGCACAGTGGGTCACCCGCCTGTGCTGCGAGCTGGGGTGGTGGGTATGGAGTTTGGGTTATACACGGGCACCCGCCCTGGGCTGAGCAGTCCCAGAGAGGGCCTGGTTTGGGGAAGACACACGCCCCTGCCAGCCTGTCTCTAGCACCTGTTTGAACATGGTGCTGGCTGTGCAGCTGACTTTGGCCTGGGTGTACCCTGGGTCTCGCTCTAAGCCCCCGGTGCCCCAAGTTGCTCTTCCAGCTGCTTAGGTGCCTAGACAGATCATCTTGTGTTGCTTTAAAGAAACAAACAAAAAAACTGTAGTAAAATATGTGTAACATAAAACTTACCAATTTAGTAATTTTTAGGTGTGCAGCGCAGTGGCATTATTTATGTTGTTGGGCAGCCGCCGCCAGCATCCATCTCCAGAACCTTTCCATCTTCCCACATGGAAACTGTTCCATTAAACACTAACTCCCCAGGCCCTGGCAACCACCATTCTACTCTGTGTCTCTGGATTTTAACTTCTCTAGGAACCTCCTGTAAATGGAATCAGACAGTATTTGTCCTTTTGTGTCTGGCTCATTTCACTGGGCATAAAGTCTTCGAGGTTCACCTGTGGTGTAGTAGGTACCAGAATTTTCTTCTTTTTTTTTTTTAGGGCTGCTTGTGTTGCTCTTGAGTACTGCTTTGTGTCTTGTGTGAACAGTACTGGCTTCCACTCTTAACATCAATTTACTCTGAAAATATGCAAATCTTGAGGGGTCATGTCTTCTGCATCCTTATCATTCTTACCTCCAGGGAGGGGCCGGGGGTGTGAGCACACACTGGCCAGGCCTCAGGCTCTGTCATGCACTTTGCCCTGAGCTTTGTGGGCCCCACCACCACTTTACTCCTGGTCTACAGCCTTGTTTAATAAGAAATCCTTGTGCAACTGGCCAAGTTAATATTTTATTACAAAACACACATGCCCACACACAGAAACACACATGCCCCTACACACATACACACACGATGGTGATTAAGGCTGCGGCCCAAAAGCAGACGGGATCTCCTATCTGGGGACAGGCTGACCACAGTGCTTCTGCACACACACCTCACTGAAGGAAGAGGGTCTTTGGGAGAGGGGCTTTCCAAGCTAGATAAATTAGGAGGTGGCTTTGTTTTTATAGGAGGACTTAAGGCGGCTTCACTCCCTTGAGGAATGTGAAGGAGAAGATTGAGGCAGGAGCATTCAGGAACCCCTCCCTCGTGTTAAGCGGGATCAGTCTGTCCCTGATGCGGTTGGTTCTAGAAGCAGGAGGAAGAGACCAGATTTCCCCTGGAGGCCGGTTTTCTTTCCCAGGCCCGGAGGAATGTTCTCCAAGGAAGACCAGACAGAGAGGCTCAGCGAGGCTCAGGGAGCCTAAGAGGATGCCCAGCCCCCCCCTTCCACCCCCCTCTGTGCCCAGCGGCATGGACGGGGCTTTGGCACAGAAACACAGGGTCAGGAGTCCTCGGCGGGGAGCTGGGCCCCTGACCCTCCCGTCCTCGGGGCCTCCCGCAGGGCCGGGCCTGGGGCGGCGTCACACAGCTGCATCTTGGGAAGGAAATGGCAAAGTTAGGACAGATAAGACAGGGCGCACCCAGAAGCCACACACCAGAGGGCTGACCCCAGTTCTGCTCAGTGCACTTCCTTCCTCCATCCGGCACCAACTGCCATTGGAATGATTTTACCCTTTCTAAATACATTTCTAGAAGAAAAAAAAAAACTCAGTAGGGCAGGGATGATTTCTATCGCTGCCCCTCCCTGCCCAGGCCTATCCTCAGAGGGACTTGAACTGTGTTAGGGGTTTCTTTTGGCTTCATGAATTTTAAGCCCTATGTTTCTGCCAAGATTTACACATGTGTCACCCTTAGACAGTTACCAAGTAACTCTCTTTTACTTTCTCTACTTTTCATCATTCATTTTTTCCTTAAACAGCTGTACCCAGAAATGCAACCCACGAACTGTCCAATCCACCCACCTAAAGTATACACTTGCAAAGTTTCATATTCACATCCATTCACAGGATGGTGCAAGCACTGACCGCCACAGTGTTAGAATATTTCATCACTTCCAAAAAGAAGCCCCATTCCCATCTACTGTCCCCTCCCCCAGCCCCTGGCAACCCCTGATCTACTTTCTGCCTCTCTGGATAAGCCTATTCAACACATTCCCTATCAGTGCAATCCTACAGTCTCTGGTCTTGTGACTGGCTCTCTGCCCTCTGTGTCCTGTTAACTTTTTGCCAGTGGCTTCTAGAAGGAAATGGAAGCTCTAATGAAACAACCTTTCTGTGGGGCAGCTCAGACTATATATATACTGTACAGGCTTTGATATTTTCTAGTGCATTCATTTAAAGGAAAGAACAAAGGAAGGGCTGGAGTAGAGAAGTGGGGATTAATCAAAATAGTAGGTCGCACTCTCAGCAGTGTTACTTCTAGTAATGTACTCTTAAGAGAAACGATATTAGGGATGAGAATGGGGCTACATTTACAAGGATGTTCTTTACAACCCTGTTTAGTAGCAAAGAATTAAAAGCGAAACAAAACATGACCCCAAATAGGAGATAAGTTAAGTAAACCATGACACAGACATGCAGTAGAGTCAATGCAACACCACAGAGCCATTAAAAGTGACGGGGATGAGGGGGCCTGCCTGGCTTAGCAAGTGGAGCATGTGACTCCTGATCTTGGGGTTGTGAGTTTGAGCCCCACGTTGGGTCTAGAGATCACTTAAAAATAAAATCTTAAAAATAAGTAAATGAATCAACGAGTAAATAAAAATCTTAAAAAAAAATTGATGGAGAAGAATCTCCAACCATGTGGGGAAAATGCCTGACGTTGGTTAAGTAGAAGAATAAGAGCAGGTTACAAGTAACACATAAAGTCTGATCCTTTAGGGGCACCTGGGTAGTTCAGTGGTTAAGCATCTGCCTTTGACCCAGGTCATGATCCTGGGTCCTGGGATCAAGTCCTCATCATGCTCCCCAAAGGGAGCCTGCTTCTTCTGCCTATGTCTCTGCCTCTCTCTCTCTCTGTGTCTCTCATAAATAAATAAATAAAATCTTTAAAACAAAAAGTCTGATCCCTTAATAAAAGCAACATACATATCTAAATATCTTTATACTTATCTATGTATCTTTATATCTGTGTATCCATCCATTCATCCATCCATCCATCCAGAGAGAAGAAATACTGGAAGGATAGTCACCCAGCAGGTGCTATTTCTAGGCAGTGCGATGATAGTTTTCATGAAAACCTTTTTGTTTTTCTTATTTGTACTTTCTAAATTCTCTACACTTTATTTTTGTCATCAGGAAACTAATTTATGGAAAATGCTTCACCATCAGAAGTGGACATGTGGGGGTATCCCGGGCCATAGAAACAGGACAAGAGTGGAGAGGGAGTCTTGGGTCTGGGCCCCAATGCTTCAAGGCCTCCCCTGCAGCGGGGCTCTTCCTTTCCCTGTTGCTGAACTCCACAGCTGACTGCCCTCCTGGTCTCCAGCAGAGGGAACTTCCAGAGATCGTCTGTGTTTAGACAAAGGAACTCACCTGTTGACTGGGTCACACACGAGATCTTGTAGGACATCCAGATGCTCGCCAGGCAGAGGAAGGTGGCCACGAAACCGAAGATCTGCACAGGAGAGAGAGGAAAGGAGGTTCCCAGGCCAAGGGCCAATAACTCAGGCAGTCCTTTAGTTCCTGTACCAGCTGTGGCCTGGAGGGAGCCTGGGGGATGGAGTGACCTGACCACCTCCTCAGGGGCAGGGATAAGGACCTGTTCCCTCGGTTCCTCCCCCAGGGCCCTGGTTCAGGCCTGGCCCTGGGGCTCTGGGCTCCACCTCCTGGCCCTCCTCACTCTGGGGAACTCCAGGGCCCACATTCTGGTTCATGTTTACAAACTGAGCTGAGGCCAAGGCACCGTGCAAAACAATTACTGGGGCTAATGAAAGAGAAAAAGGTGGAATTACACATTTTAATTTGAGTCTTTGAATTCCTAATGTTCAGATGGCTTTTACTGGTATGACAGCGTTGCGTTTCATTCATAATGGCTTTCTGTTCCACCTCGCTCCACAGCTGTGTAAGAGCTAGAAGCCAAGACCTTGCTGACAGTGTTATGTTTGCACATATTTAAACAATCTTAGACTAAAATCAGTTAAGGTAGCTCCTTCCTTTCTGAGGCTCCACCCGGTGCCCACGTGGCTGACCTCGCTGACCTGGGAAAGCTGACCCAGCCCAGTCTAGCTTCATTTAAAGATGAGGGAGAGGGCACCCCGAGAAGAACAGGACCTCATGTGAGGCTCATCCGATGGTTAGAGAGAAGCAGGCACACACTCCGGTGTCTGTCTGGAACTTCCAAGCCTGAAGCTTTAGTAGCTATAACTTGTTGACCACCTTGACGTGCCCGTCCGAGTCCTAAGCCCGTTAGGTGTGCTGATCCCTTCAATTCCCATCACTCTGCTAGGTGGGTGCTGCTGAGCTCCTCCCCTCTCCCTCATCTGGCAGCTAAGGAAATGGAGGGACAGTGAGTCAACCAGTTTGTCCAGGGCCACAGGAGCAGCGAGGGCCGGGCATGGGATCTGGGCGCTGGGGATCTGGCCCCAGGGCCCTGCTCTAGTTTTGCCCAGGTGTTCCTGGACTCTCACGTGGCCTCATGTTTGGGACACGGCTACGGGCTGATGCGCAGTAGGAACAGCCCAGGAGCTGCCAGACAAGGGCATGATTTCCAGGGTTTGGTTTGCTGTTCAAGCCCCTGCTGGATTACAAAAGCCACCTCCCTCTCCCCCAGGTCGCTTTCCTTGGCTCCTTTTGTACCAATTGTCTGCACCACATAATTAGCCTGTTGGAGCCTGTCCCTGCCCCTCATTGTCTGTTCTGCACAATTAGCACATTATATACCATCCCGGTCTCCAACTGTCTGCCCTGCATAATTGAACAGTTTATTATATCTACATAATGCTCTTCTGGACGACAATGCCTCATTTGCTAATTGTTTCATGTGCCTTGGCCTTAACTCCTAAACTAGGCTGCCATTTCCTCATATGCAAGGGCCATATCTTTTTATTTCTTCTGGCTCCCCCATGGCCGAGGCACCAAGATGGTGTATGATGAGTGGGGCTTATTTGGATTCCAGGTGATGTGCAATCTGAATCATAAAACCCAGTGGGAACCTGCCCATGTGGTCCTGACACACAATGGGTGCCAGTTTCCTCAGTGTCTCCATCACCAGCCTGCCTGTAGTTGGGCAGGTAGTAACCTGTAGGTGGCACCCACCCCACTTCTTGGGGACTGCAAGGGGTAGGGAGGTGGCTGCAGGAGGCACCTAAGGCCCATTAGTGTTCAGAGGCTTGGCCGCCCTTCTGTAGCGATGTGCTGCCCCATGCCCACCTTTGGAGGACAGACCCCACCCCTCAATGGAATTCCAGGCACTAACCCACTCCCAACCCAAAGTCTGGAGAATTCTGCTAACGTATAAATGAAAGAGTGACTGTCTCCTAGAGCTTTTCTTAAAACTCATTTAAAAAAAAAAAAAATCAAGGGCTGCCTGGGTGGCTCAGGTGGCGCCACCTTCAGTCCAGGGTGTGATCCTGGAGACCCGGGATTGAGTCCCACATTGGGCTCCCTGCATGGAGCCTGCTTCTCCCTCTGCCTGTGTCTCTGCCTCTCTCTCTCTCTCTCTCTCTCTCTCTCTTTCTCTCTCTCTCTCTCTCTCTCTCTGTCTCTCATGAATAAATAAATAAAATTAAAAAAAAATCAAGGTGTCTAGGTGACTCAGTTAAGCATCCGACTCTTGATTTTGGCTCAGGTCATGATCTCCACGTTGTGAGATAGAACCCTATGCTGGCACAGAGCACACTTAAGATTCTCTCTCTGCCCAGCCCCCGCCCTTGCACATGCACTCTCTTCCTCTTTAAAAAACAAAAGAAAACAAAACAAAAAACTCATTTAAGAAATCTCATCTGGGGATGCCTGGGTGGCTCAGTGGTTGAGCCTCTACCTTTGGCTCAGAGTGTAATTCCAGTCCAGGGATCGAGTCTTGCATCGGGCTCCCTGCAAGGAACCTGCTTCTCCCTTTGCCTGTCTCTCTGCCTCTCTCTCTGTGTCTCATGAATAAATAAAATCTTTAAAAAAAATCTCATCTCGTTAGTGAGGCAAATCAGTACTGGCCCATAGGCCACCGAACTGTAAGCAATTAGCAAAATCAGAAATCAGATGGCAGGAATCTATAAGTCTTTTAAAAATAATAAGTATATATGTATACAAACCCATGTGTCATGTTTGTATATGTGTGGGAAACACAGACTGTGCCCACAGCACTATATTTTTACACATTCCCATGCTTCTATTCAGGCTATCAGATGAATCAGCTTTCACCTTTGAAAGGTTTAGGAGTGTTGTCTCCTGGCCTGAATACCGTTGTAAATCAGGACCAGCAAAGCTAGGACCCATGACAGGTATCACTAACTGATCATGTGCTCAGATCCCCGGACCTCAGATCATGGATCCCCGGACCCAAAAGAGGCCTCAGGATCTTTGCCTGCATAGCGCAGAGGCAGCCACCAACAAATGGCATGTATAAAGGGACATGTGCATTCACACCGACGCCCCTGGTGTAAGGAGTGGCTGTTTGAGAAAGGGCTGGGCCTCTGGGGCCCTCTGAGAGTGCCAGGAGCCCTGACCATCCACCTGTGGAGACCCTGTGCTGTAAGCCCAAGTTCAGCTCTCTGGAGACTGCTGTTGGCTGGATCAAGGTGGGTACTGATAGGCACTTTTCTGGAAAAGGCAGGCCCCAGGAAACAATCCCCTTGATGCCCGTCAGAAGAAAATGTGCTAGAAGTGAATTCATTCATGAAGGTTCCCCAGACCATCCTCACCGCTCCAGCTACTAGTCCACTCTGGCTGTAACTCTTGGAGGCTGCCACAATGGAGGCGATTAGGAGGAGCAGGGTACCGATTAAATAATGCAGAAGTTCCTGGGGACAAAAACAGAAAAGCAAAGCACTGGGTCAGGAGGTCCGCTCCTGGTTCTCAGAGGCAACCAGGCACAGAAGAGAGAAACAGAGGGGAAGGGAGCTACCCCGCAAGACAGAAGAGGAGCTGGGCAGGCAGCCAGAGAGGCAACAAAGAGAAAGGACACTTGTCATGTGAGGAGAGACATCCACTAAGGACCGCTCCACTCCTGAGGGCAATTTGTAGACAGTATTCTGACCTCCGGCCAAAGCTACTGAAAAGCAAACAGCTTCTCACAGCTCCCAGGCTGAAGAGTTTAAAGGAAGCTCCAGTTCTGAGAAGCAAAGCCCCTGAAAGACATGTGTGTCTCTTACTTCTGCTTCAGAGAAAGTTCTAGGTTAAGTGTGCTGGCTTTGGTGGCTGCCTGGAGTTCCTGCCCACTCTGTGAACGGTTTTTGGTGTGGACCTGAGGTGCTGGCCCTGTCAGAGCTGGAGTCAGAGCTTAGAGTGAGGTCAGGGGCCTTCTGTGAAGTCCATGTGGAGGTGGGGGGAACTGACTCTCTGGCACCTAATAAACCTCTTAGCTTTGTCCTCATTCATCTTCCCTCAGGCCACACTCTGCCCAGACCACACTCTGCTGAGGCATTTGCTTGCAGGGCAGCCTCACCCGGCTTCCATGATCTCCACCCCATTCACCCTCCAGGCTTAAAATGGCATCTCTGCAGGCCCTGAATGAGGCTGAACTTCTGTCAGCAGCAGGGTAAGGCTTCCACCTCATTTTTCTTCCTCCCCATTAAACACCAGATCAGAGGAGAACTGGCGCTTAGGGACAGGAGAGTACTCTCTCTGGATGCAGAGTGTATTCATTTTTAGTTGTCTTCAATGAGAATTTAGAAATTAGTCCTTCATGAAGTAAGTTCTGCCCACCGGGGCAGGCACCTATTAAATTTTGGAAAAGCATTCCACTTTTAAGCTGCAGCTCTTCTGAAAACTGTGCAAAATCAAAGACCCCAATTTCTCCTTTAGTGACTAGAAAGGAATATCAGAAGGTAGACCACAGAGATTTTGACTGAAGAGCAGATTAGTAACTGAAGTTCCCTACCTCCAAGATTCTCACCCTCGAAGAAAGGAATATGACAAGGGATAGAGAAAACGGACTTGAGAGAGTCCTAAATGGAAAGTGCCTCGAGAGTACCCCACCAATAATGTGGGGCTGGGCTTACACCTCCAATAGGCACTCCGCTCTCTACCCACCCCCATTCCTGCCCCCAGCCTTTATCTCTCCTTTGCATGTTCATTATCAGCATCATTATCAGAGGAACTTGTTCCCAGAAGTAGAAAGGTGCCATAACTTGGAAAGGGGCCAAAAGAAATGTCTCTCAAAATAAAAAAATGGGTAATAACATTAAATGTGAATACTTAAACAATCCAATCAAGAAGCAGAGGTTGTCAGACTAGATTAAAACAAAAAACAAAACAAAACAAAACCGGGCAGCCCGGGTGGCTCAGTGGATTGGCACTGCCTTCGGCCCAGGGCCTGATCCTGGGGACCAGGGATCCAGTCCCACAATGGGCTCCCTGCATGGAGCCTGCTTCTCCCTCTGCCTGTGTCTCTGTGTCTCTGCCTCTCTGTGTGTGTCTCTCATGAATAAATAAATAAAATCTTAAAAAAAAACAAAACAGGGGTGTCTCGATTGCTCAGTTGCTTAAGCATTTGACTCTTGGTTTCAGTTTGGATCTTGATCTCAGAGTTGTGAGTTCAAGCCCCATGTTGGGCCCTAGTATAGAGCCTACTTTAACAAAAATCCAACTATATGCTGTCTATTGGAAAAACACTTTATATTCAAAGATACAAATTGATTAAAAGTAGAAAAGAAAAAGATACATCATTCAAACAGCAACCAAAAGAAAACTGAAGTGGTTATACCAGTATCAGACAACACAGATGTTAAAACAAAAAAATGTTACCAGAGATAAAGAGGAACATTTTATAATGATGAAAACATCAGTCCATCAGGAAGCAAGAATATAAACATGTATCCACCTAATAGCACAGCAACAAAATACAAGAAGTGAAAACTCAAACGAATGAAGGGAGAAATTGGTAATTCAAAAATAATAAATAGTTGGAGGCTTCAATACCCCACTTTCAATAATGTGTAGAACAACTAGGGAGGAGACCAACAGGAAATAGAAGACTCAATACTATAAGAAAACTAGACATAACAGACATATATAAAACACTCTACCCAACAACAAAATATACATTCTTCTAAAATGCACATAAAATACTCTCCAGGAGACACAGAAAGAATTTTGGGAAACCCACAAATATGTAGAAATTAACACATTCCTAATTAATGGGTCAATCAAAGGCAGAATCACAAAGTAAATTAGAGAGTGCTTGGAGATGAGTGAAAATGAAGATATAATATACTTAAATTATGGGATGTAACTAAAGCAGTGCTCATAAAGAAATTCACAGCTGCACATATCTAAATTAAAAAGGAAGAAGGAGTTCAAATTAATAACCTAATCTTCACCTTAAGTCACTGGAAAAAGAAGAGCAAACTAAACCTAAATCAGGGAAAAAGAAGGAAAAAAAGACTGAAGCAGAAATTAATGACACAGGGAACAGAAGAACAATAGGAAAAATTAATGAAACCAACACTGGTTCTTTAAAAAGACCAACAAAATAGTCAAACCTTTAGCTAGACTGATAAAAAAGAAAGAGAGAGAAAAGATGACCAGATTCAAATGAACAGAATCAGAAATGAAAAAGGGGACCTCACTATGGATGTTATAGAAGTAAAAAAGATTTTAAAGGAATACCATGAACAATTATATGCCAGTGAATTAGAAAACTTAGATGAAATGGACATATTTCTGTAAAGACACACCTCTGAAAATGACTCAGGCAGAAAAATACAATCAGAACAGATCTATAACAAGTTTGAGTTACTAATAAATTACCCACAGTAAAAACCCAGGCTCAGATGCCTTCATTGCAAAATTATACCAAACATTTAAAGAATTAACACCAATTCTTCACGAACTCTTCTAAAAAATTTAAGAGGTGGTAACACTTCCCAAATTACTCTATGAGATCAGTATTACCCTGATAACAAAACCAGACAAAGACGTCACAAGAAAACTACAGACCAGTATCTCTTATGAGGACAAATATAAAAATTCTCAACAATATACGAGCAAACCAAATCCAGCTACATAAAAACTGAAAGATATATCAAGACCAAACAGAATTTATCCCAGGGATGCAAATGTTAATTCCACATATGAAAATCAATATAATACACCATATTAATAGATTACTAAGGGAAAAACTCACATGACTATCTCAATTATCTCAGATAAAAAGCATTTGACAAAATCTAACACCTTTTCATGACAAAAACATTCAACAGAGTAGGACCGGAAATTAACTTCTTCAATCTGATAAATGGGTTCGACAAAAACCCACAGCTAACACCACATTTAATGATGAAAGATAGAATGCTTTCCTGTTAAGATCAGGAAAAAGATAATGATGTGTGGTCTTGCCACTTCAATATTCAACTAATTTCTTGCAATAAGAAAATGAAATAAAAGGCATCCTGGTTGGAAAGGAATATAAAACTATCTCTATTCATAGATGGCATAATCTTGTATAGAAGTTCCTAAGGAAGAGCACCCGGATGGCCCAGTGGTTGAGTGTCTCCCTTTGGCTTAGGTCGTGATCTTGGGATCCTGGAATGAGTCCTGCAGCAGGCTCCCTGCAGGGAGCCTGCTTCTCCCTCTGCCTATGTCTCTGCCTTTCTCATAAATAAATAAATAAAGCCTTTCAAAAGAAAAATTAAATCCTAAAGAATTCATTAATGATCTGTTAGATCTAAAATGAATTCACAAAAAAACTAAGTAAATAAATAAAATGAGTTTAGCAGATTAAAGATACAAGATCAATATGCAAAAATCTCCTGTATTTCTATCTACTTGCAATGAACAATCCCAAAACAAAATTAAGAAAATAATTACATTTGAAATATCATCAAAAAGAGTGAGATACTTCAGAACAAATTTAAGCTCCCCTCTACAAAAAAAGCACAAAACTTACACTCTGGAAACTATAAAACATTGTCGAAATAAAGTTCTAAATAAGTGGGAAAGCCCTCCATCGTCCTTGGCCACAAGACTTAATATGGTTAAGATGGCAGTACTCTCCAAATTGATCTATAGATGTTTGTATTAGATTCCCAGCTGACTTCTTTGTAGAAACTAAAAATCTGATTCTAAAATTCATATGGAAGTGCAAAAATCCAAAACAATCCTGAAAAAATTTCCTAATTTCAAAACTGGCTACAAATCTACAGCAATCAAGACAATGTGGTAAGATCAATGCAATTGAGAGTCCAGATATTAACCCATGTGTTTATGGGCAACTAATTTTCAGCAAGGATGCCAAGACAATTCAATGAGGAAAGAATGGTCTTCCCAACAGATGGTGCTGCGACAACTGGATATTTACATGCAAAAGAATGAATTTGCATCCTTACCTCACACTAGATGCAAAAATAAATTCAAAATAGTCTGGATTTCTAAGTGTAAGAGCTGAAACTGTGAAACTCCTTAGAAGAAAACGTAGAGGCAAACCTTCATGATCTTGGATTTGGTAATGGCTTTTACACCAAAAACACTTTTTTATACCAAAAAAAGAAAAGTAGTTAAATTACATCTCATCAAAATTAAAAACTTGTGTTTTTTTCTTTTTTTTTAAGATTTTATTTATTGTTTGATGAGAGACACACAGAGAGAGAGAAAGAGGCAGAGACATAGGCAGAGGGAGAAGCAGGCTCCATGCAGGGAGCGCGATGTGGGACTCAATCCCGGGTCTCCAGGATCACGCCCCTGGCTGAAGGTGGCACTAAACCTCTGAGCCACCGGGGCTGCCCAAAAACTTGTGCTTTAATGAACACTATCAAGAAAGTGGAAACCACCAACAGGATGGGAGAAAATATTTGCCAATCATGTATCTGGAAAGGGGCTTGTAACTAAAATATACAAAGGATTCTGAGAATTGAGTAATAAAATGACAACCTAATCCAAAAATGGGCAAAGAGTCTGAATAGACTTTTCTCTAAAGAAAATAGAGAATGGCCAAAAAGCTCATCAAAAGACGACTGACATCAATGATCATCAGAGAAATGAGATACCACTCCATACTCACTAGATAGACTAAGATCATAAAGTCAGAAAATAATGAGTGTTGAGAAGGATGTGGAGACACTGGAACCCATATACACTGCCAATGGGAATGTAAACTGGGGCAGCCATTTTGGAAAAAAATCTGGCAGTTCTTCAAACAATGAAACATAGCTACCAGGTACCATAGCTACCCCCCCCCCCCCAATTCCACTCTCAGGTATATTCTCAAGCGAAATGAAAACCTGTCCACACCAAAAAACTGTACATGAGTGTTCAGAGCAGCATCATTCATAATAGCCAAAAGATGGAAACAACCCAAATGTCCATCAATGATGAAGACCATCAATGATGAACGAATAAACGAAACATGGTTTATCCTTTCAATGGACTATTACTCAGTTATTAAAAAAAAAAATGAAGGACCTGACGCATGCTATGACACAGATAAACCATGAAAGCACTCTGCTAAGTCAAAGAAACCAGTCACAGGAGACCACACATTTGATTCCATTTACAGGAAATATCTAGAATGGAAAATCCACAAGACAGGAGGTAGATTAGCAGTTGTTTTCAGGCTGGAGAGGATGAAAGGTGGGAGGTAATAGGTAAAGGAGATGGGGTTTCTTTTTGAGGTCTAAAATCAACTGTGGTAAAAAATAAAAAATAAATAAAATAAATAAAATAAAATAAAATCAACTGTGGTGATTTTCACACCACTCTGGGAATATAGTAAAATCCATTGAATTGTACACTTTATTTTTTATTTTATTTTTTTATTTATCTACGATAGTCACACAGAGAGAGAGAGAGAGAGCGCAAGAGAGAGAAGCAGAGACATAGGCAGAGGGAGAAGCAGGCTCCTGCACCGGGAGCCCGACGTGGGATTCGATCCCGGGTCTCCAGGATCGCACCCTGGGCCAAAGGCAGGCGCCAAACCGCTGTGCCACCCAGGGATCCCGAATTGTACACTTTAAATGGGCAGTTGTATGGCTTGTGAATTATATGTCAATCGACATAAATAAAAGTGGGAAGAAAAAAATCCTGGAGACTTCTGAAATCTTTTCTCAGACCCTGCCACTCCCTTTTAGATGACAAGTCTCATCACAACAGTATAGATACCCATCACCTTTATCAGCTTCCTCCTCCCACCTTATACACACACTGTCCATTTTCTGTCCCTTGGGAAAACACCCACACAGCTTTCTTGTTGCCAGAAGATGAGCTTTAGAAACCAGCAGGACATAAGCAGCAAGAAGCAGCTCGGGGCTGCAGCAGGAAGAGATGCTGAAGGAGAAGAGGACTATGGGGGAGGAGCAGATGGGGAGGACTCTGTTGTGGCTCAGCGCCCTGGCTCATGTGCTGACTTCTGCGTGCCCACCCAGGCCACCCTCTTACCGACAGGGGCCAGCTGATGCAGGTGAGCATGCGGTAGAGGCGGAAGAGGTGCACCAGGTAAAAGACGAGGATCATTATCAAGTTGCAAATGGTGACCACTTCAAAGTAGCTGTAGGCATAGCTGGTCCACATAGAACGATTCACGCAGATGAAGGCGATCAGCAGAGTGATCTAGGACAGAAATACAGAGACATCAGGCAAAGGCCAACCCATGACGGATCCCCAGAGAACAAACGACCAAGAAAACCGAGGAACTGGGGCACCTGGGTGGCTCAGTAGTTGAGCATCTGCCTTCCACTCAGGGTGTGATCCCGGGGTCCTGGGATCCAGTCCCACATCAGGCTCCCCGCAAGGAACCTGCTTCTCCCTCTGTCTATGTCTCTGCCTCTCTCTCTGTGCCTCTCATGAATAAATAAATAAAATCTTTAAAAAGAAAACCGAAGAACTGCTGCATTCCAGGTGATTTCCTCACAAACTGGCCGCAAGGCTGGAAAAGTGCAATTTCCCATTGTGTCAGCTTTTAAAACACACATGAGTTGTAAAAGCTAAGGACCGGCAGCCAGTGGCTTTGTCCTCTGAAGTGTGTTGTGCCAGCAGGATGGCTCCTCAGAGAGGGGGCAGGAATGCAGGAGAATAACCAAGCAGAATCATTCCATTTATTTACTTATTAGGTTGAACTGTAAAAAGTAGCTAACAGTTGACGGTTTTTTTGACCCACAAAGATGGCGACTCTGATGTCACAACTTCCCAGCTGGCAGACAGTAAGTTACCATTTACTGATGCCTCATGTGCATGATCTCCTTGCGGCCTCACAGAAATCTGGAGAGGCCATCACCTCTATATTCACATTGGGAAACTGAGGTACACCAGTTCAATAATTAGTCCAAGGCTACCAGCTCATAAGCAATGGAGGTGGGATTCTATACCCAAGTCTATCTGACTCCTAGGGTCTGTTACTCCATGTCAGGTGCAGTTTTGCCTTCCAAGAATGTTAGCCCTCATCAGAGACAAGCTGAGGAAGGTGGGTATGTTATGAAATATTTAGGAATCCTGGTTATACAAGGCGGTGCTTGCTCACCACTAGGTGGTAGAGCTCGCTAAGCATATTGCTGCAAACGAACCAATGTAGAGGATTAATAAACTAAAGATCTATTAATGAATTAAGAGTTCAGGTAAAGGGATTCCCTGGGTGGCTCAGCAGTTTAGCACCTGCCTTTGGCCCAGGGTGTGATCCTGGGGTCCCAGGATTGAGTCCCGCGTCGGGCTCCCGGCATAGAGACTGCTTCTCCCTCTGCCTGTGTCTCTGCCTCTCTCTCCCTCTCTGTCTATCATGAACAAATAAATAAAGTCTTTTTTTTAAAAAAAAAAAGAGTTCAAGTAAATTATTAGCAACATATGAATACCTTGGGAGAGCAGACTGGAAGAGGAGAGAGAAGATTCTGAGTTTTTGTGAAAGCCACTCAAAAATAATAAAATCTTATTCGCTCCACATAGGGAATAAACCACGAACACACAGGTGTGAAATATCTGTGAAAGCTTAGGATCTATTTTAAAAGTACAACTATTTTAGGACAAAGATGATTTTTTACTGCTTCTTTCCTATAGAACAGTGAACAAAGGCTATGTGTGTGTGTGTATGTGTGTGTGTGTGTGTGTGTGTGTGTGTGTGTGTGTGTGAGAGAGAGAGAGAGAGAGAGAGAGAGAGAGAGAGAGAGAGAGGTTTTGTGTCCTATGGGACACTTGGCTATGTCTGGTTGGGTCATCACCACTATGGGAGGGTGCTGTGGACATTCAGTGGTTAGAGGTCAGGGGTGCCACTAAACACCTCACAAAGCACAGGATGGCCCCCACAACAAACTATCTGGTCTCAAATGTGGCCTATATTACTGTGCTGTCATGGAGAAACCTGCTGCAGAGAATGTGAGTCCATAGCAAGCATTAAACCACAAAATGGATCTAACACTGGTTAAAGAGGTCAGTGTGAGGGGCACCTGGATGGCTCAGCAGTTGAGCATCTGCCTTTGGCTCAGGCCATGATCCTGGGGTCCTGGGATCAAGTCCCACATTGGGCTCCCCACAAAGGAGCCTGCTTCTCCCTCTGCTTGTGTCTCTTATGAATAAATAAAATCTTAAAATTAAATAAAATAGAGTAAAATATAATACGATACAATAAAAAAGGGGTCAGTGTGAAAAATGCTCTGATTTCTCAAGCCCTTCATTCCTAGCAGTCCTTCAAACTCTTCAGAACAGGCACAAGAGCTAGAAGAGAACCTGGCATGAAGATGAAAGTTGGCATGAGGAGTGCTCTGCTTGCCAAAACCAAGCGGCAGAGTGACTCTGACACAAAGGGACCCTTGACATTTGCATATTCCCCTTTGCTAATGAGCAACGTGAGTATTTTCATTTTTTCAGTTCCTCTCAAGCCAGTCAGCCTTGGTAATAGAATGATTCATGCCTTGAGGTTGCTTTAAAGCTCCGAGGGGGAGCTTTGCTTCACTCTGGACAGTGCACGGTTGCCAGGGCTTTGCTGATTCGGAGTCCCCACAGACAGGCTTCAGGTCTATGGGTCTCCCCACCTCGCGGGGACCCCTTCCGCATTGGGGCACCAAGACCTGCCTTACAATGCAGACCATTCAGGATTATGCAATGCCACACCTAGGAGGACAAGCAAATCTGTGCCTAATTTAATACAAACATTAGAATAATTTGTACGATTCTTCATCTGTGACAGAGTCACCTCTTTCTCATGGTGACACAGAGGTTGTGGGAGTTCCCCAATGAATAAAAGGGTCCCTTGCAGGTCTTCCCCTCTGAGCTGCCAGGGCTGAGGACCTTGCAGCAGGAAGTATGTTACTGTTCTACCACAAACCATCTAGACCTCTCTGGGAAAACATTCTTGTGAAATAAGACTTCCCGAATTCTGTTCAATTGGCCTAAGGCTGCCTATCACGTGCTCTTCTTCCAGGAATCCCACTTTTGGAAACTCTCATTTAGACTACAGATGGTATATCCTAATGCATGCAACTAAAAGCTTCCTTTTTGTCCAATCATTCATTCATTCTTACTTTACATGGCCAGCATCTTAGGCAGCACACTTAAAACAAAACAAAACAAATTTAATTAACAAACTTTTCAGAACTCTTCTAAGGCCAGCAGGTAACCTCTACAAATGCTGGAGACCCCTGACTCATCTAGATCAATACTCTGGGGACAGCTGGAAGGGTGAAGCCAAAGGATGAGCAAGCAAGACCACCGTGGAGAAAAGGCCCTGAGGTATTGGTTCTCCCAGGCCCCAACCACAGCCTCCTCAGATCTCTTCTTGTTTCCGGTCAGAAAAGCAAATCAAAAACAGCAGAATTCAGACACACCGCAGGAGTTCTGATTTCAGGGCTGAGTGAGGAAGGCTGAGAGGTTTCTAAAGAACTAAATGTGATACTATCCAAAGGACTAACTTGTTTCTCGGGATGCCCTCTAGCTCCCCTCATAAAGATTTGTTCTTTTACATTTATAGAACTGCTATGAAAGTTGCAAATAAAATATCTAACACGAGCATCCAGGCATTTAAAAGTAATGTTGTAAGCATCCTCCATGCAAAGCCAGGGTCTCACACGCCAGCTGTGTCGCTGCTCAGAATCACTGGAATCATCTCAGATTGAAGCCACCCTCTTTCTCCCTCAAACTGTGTTGTTTCTGACTTCATTCTATCAGAATTCTTACCAGAGAGAAGGGATGGTTTTTGTGAAAGCAGCAGTGGGTTTAAATCTCACAGAGGAAGAGGAAGCAGGCTGACATCACCTGAGAGACACAGATCTACCCCACCTCCCACCAAAACTCTGCAACTGAAACATCCTGGTCTTTACAGCCAGGTGCCGGGTTCTCAGCCTGGGTGGGTGTCCCTCAGGGAAGAAATCACCTGCTGCCTGCAGTCTGTGCCCTGGAACATTCCCGCAAGCAGGCTTGATCTTCCCATGTCCTGCCACGTCTGGTCTGCTGAGCATGCCTGCGTCTAGCTGAAGATGGCACCAGATACCTTACGTTTCAAGAACCCCGGGCTGGATGCAGGCAGGTCACCCAACCCCACCATCTCGTGGTTTTTTGTGGGTTTTTTTTTTTCTTATCCTGACCTTGGAATAATGTTTCAGTGAGGGAGACAGGTAAGAGAAAGAGAAGTAGCTGATGAAAGCCAACATCAAAAGGTCTCAGACCCAACTCTAAGAGGCTTTTTCTGGAAAAGCCCAGAAAGCCAGGCTTGTTCAAAAAGTCAGGATGGGGTGAGTCCATGATTCCAAAGTGTGCTTGTAGATGCTTAAGTGACTTTGCTTGGTTGTGGGCAGGCAGGAAGAGGAATTTGATATGCTTCTAACTTCGGCTGAATTCTGCCCTGGGGTGGGAGGAAATTTACCCCCACGTCCCTGTTAAAGCCTCCACTGCTCATCACCACCGAACAGCCCTTGTGGGACCTCATGAACACCCACGTACAAGAGAACTCTCACCTGGCTTACTTCCTCTGGGTCCCCGTCTCACTCACCAATAGCAGACTTTTGGGACAGGCTCCTTCCCCACCCTTCTAAGCCCCAGCACACACTTTTGTTCTGTATCCAAAAATAAACATGCCACCGAAAGCACAAGGGAGGGGGAATAATCTAAAATACATTAAGTCAGGGATCCTCAGGGATACGTCTGGAGCAGCCCGCTAATTAACGCACTGGTTTCTGAATCTAACCATGCAGCAAAGTACCTGCAGCTTATTAAAAACTGAATATGCTTGTCCATGCTGGGACTATTTCTGGAAGGACACATAAGAAACTGGTTGCCTCTGGGGAGAACTGATTATTTAGCGGTTTTTCAAATTTGCTAGTTTCTTTTCTTGTATTATAAAAAAATCACATATGAAGCTGTAAAAAAGCATTTTTTTTTGTTTTTAACGACACATCTTGTAGATCTTTTATGGCACAGATTTACCCTTTTCTTTGAATTGGCTTTGATTTTATTTGACCTAATGTTTCTCAATTGCAGCACTACTGACATTTGGGGCTGCGTAGTTTTTTTGGTGGGGGCTGTCCCGTAGGATGGTTAGCAGCATCCTGGTCTCCACCCACGAGATGTCAGTAGCAGCTCCCTAGGTAGGATAACCAAAACTGCCGCCAGATGTTAGCAACGGTCCCAGGGGG